TGTCCACCAGGGCGGCTCTGGCTCATGGCTGATTTTCTGCCTGGGCCTACTCGCCTCTTAACAGTTTCCCTCCTGACGCTGCCTCCGGAAGCTTCTGGGAGAGCGTGCGGGGTGGGGTCAGCGGCTGCCCTCTCCCGTCCTGGCGTCTGGGCCCTTCCTCTGCGGCTCTGGCGCAGCCCCTGGGTCACAGCGCCCTCCTGCTGGCCAGGCTGGGCTGCTGCAGGGGACAGCAGGAAGGGTCGCCTGTCGGTCATGGGTACCTGCCCACCGGCCCTCCCTGTTCCTGAAGCAGGAGCAGCAGGAGGGATTACCTGTCGCTGTCTGTCACGTGGCCCTGAAGCTGATCTAAGCCACTGGGAGATTGGATCTCAGGCTTCCCAGGGCCACCCGGCTCAGGGGCTTCCCACTGAGACCTGAGCCCTGTTCTGTGGCCCTCCCCGCTGGGGTCTGCCCTGGTCCCCGCCCACAGCCCACAGGCCCTCTTTATTCTGGTGATCTGGGAGATGGGACCGGGGTCACCACTGGTACTAGTCGGGAGACAAGACAGACCGGCTGGGCGGAGAGTCCTTGGAGAAGAGGGTTGAGCAGGGAAACCTTTGGCTGAAGCAAAACCTGCAGGGCAGCTCAAGCTGTGACCCAGTGGGAGCCGGGCAGCTGCCGCTGACACCAGGAGGAGACCCAGGACCCCACCCTTAGCCAGTCTGCTCGCAGCTGCTTGGGCCCCTCAGGGACTGCCAGGTTTGGTTTCGAAACTGCTGTTCCAGGGCCTTGCCCCCGGGGTTCTGGGCAGCCCTGTCACCCACACACCAATGGGCTACTGCCCAGGTCCCCAGAGAGCGGTGTCTGTGCACAGTGGCACCTATGCGAAACGTGCGCTCCAGGTGGGCTTCTTGCGCAGGGAATGGAGGCACCTGCGCTAGGATGTTGGGCAGGGCAGGGCGGTCCGAAGGCCAGCTCAGGACCCAGCACCTCTCCCCTCTCTTCCAGGCTGACATCCGCTCCCGAGAGCACATCCGCAGGACCCTGGAGCTTCCTGGGCCGCCCGCCCCTGGGCAGGAGAGGTGAGTGCCTAGAGAGGCCGGGGCAGCTGCATGAAGGAAGTGTCCGGCAGACACCCTGGTGGGGGCACCGCAGGGGTCCTCGAAGGAGGGGACAGTGGTGTGGCCTCCGAGTCTGTCGAGAACTATCCAGAAACACCTCCCCTCCCCCTAGAGCCCTCAGATCATGGCTGTCTGGCCCAAGCCCCGCCGCCCAATAGGGCTGAGCACAGGCTCTGCAGGAAGGGCATGGCCTCTGGGGTGAGACACGACCCAGCCGTGCACAAGCTGTGGTGCTGTCTGCACTCTCCGAGGCTCGGTGTCCTCACCCCAGGGCAGGTGTGGTCATTCCTCTCCTGTTGGTCCCTGTGAGACAGAGCGAGGCTGTGCGGGCACAGGCTGCCATCGCAGCTAACAGCGCAAGGCGCTGTTCTAAACACGTTGCGCAGACTGTTTGATCCTTTTAGCAGTCTTGCTGTGATACTGATCCCCTTTACAGATGAGAATACTGAGGCACAGAGTGCTGATAAGCAGCAGAGCGGGTTTCAGCCGGCAGTGTGGGTTTCAGGCCTGTGCGGAGCTTCACTGAGCGGCTGCTCCCTTCCCCTGGGTGGAGGTTGCCAGGCGCCCAGGCCTGGGGGCTGCTGCCTCTCCTGAGGAGCTGCTTGCGAGCTGCTCTCCCTTTCTGCCCATTTCCCTCCAAGCCGAGGCTGTCTGACTCCCCATCAGCTCACCTGGGTCAGAGCGCAGTGACATGAGGACAGGACCCCAGGCAAGGCAGGTCCACGGCACCTTGCTGGAGAGCAGCTGGCCTCTGGCTGGTCCCGGAGGCAGAGAGTGGAGCCGAGGGTACGGAGCTCCCAGGAGGTCACCTGCTGTGCCCCGCATGCAGCTCTCAGCCTCTCGGAGGCCTCCCATGCCCAGATTCCAGGTCGCTTGGGAATCACCTGTATCAGCCGGTGTCCTAGAGTCCCACTCAGCCCTCAGGACCTGGAGGAGGAGGCCCTTGCAGGACTGCTGCAGTGGCACCTAGACACCAGCCGGGGACAGGTGTGGCACATTGGGCACCCAGCACCGTAACTGTGCTCTGGATGCAGGGGTCGGAGCTCTGCGAACCCGTCAGCTGGGCCGAGGAAGAGCTCAGCCTGTGGCGAGAGACACAGCCGGGTGCAAGATGCCCACCGCGGGCCTTGCGAGCTCACGAGTCAGTCTGGACCAGGGGCCCCGTGGCTGCTGCCTCCGTGCTTCCCGTCTTCCCCGCTCCCTGCCCACAGCCTTGGCTGGGGCCACTCAGCAGAGAGGCAGGGGGCCGCTCAGTGGAAATGCCCCCACCCGCTGGCCCCGCCATTCCCACCTCCTGGGCTCGTGCCTCCGGCTGCAGCGTGCGGCGTGGCCTCCGGGCAGCACAGCCGCACACGTCCGTGGCACTCGCCTCGCCGTCGCCCTCTCCCCATCCAGAGCATCGCTGGTGGCAGGTGCGTGGGTTCCAAGCCTGCGAGCAGCGTTCTCCTTTTCCCAGGAGGCCTTTCCCCTTCCTTTCCAACCCAGCTGTGTGGCCTGGGAGAAAACCCAAGAGACTCCCCCCAGGCTTCAGCGAGGGACCTCTAGGTTGGCTGCCGCAGACCTGCGGGTGCGGTGCAGCAGGCCTCTGTCCCTCTCCGCCTGGATTCCCCGACAGGAGCAGTGGCCCTGCCTTGGGGGGGGGCAAGCTGGCCTGTAAGTACCTGGACACCTACAAATAGGCAAGGTTTTGGCAGAGCACGTGAAGAGCTTGCCACGTCCTGGGTCTACATCCCAGAGGAAGAGAGCCGCAGGTGAGTGGGACGTGCCGTCCAGTTGCGCCCGGAGCCACGCCTCCCCGTGCTGGAGGGTACCGTCTGTCTTGCTCCTGCCCGCTCCCTGCCTCCCCTGCAGCGCCCTGCACTTGCCCAGGTGCCACCATCCAGTTTAGACCTGACCACTACAAAACATCACAGGGTCCGAGCTAAGAGTAGCCCCTGCGGCTGCCCGCCCAGTACCTGCCAGCCAGGTGTCCTCACCCGAAACCAGATAGGCGCACCCATTCCCCCTCAGATACCGGGGAGCTGTGGCCCAGGGAGCAGTGCTGGTGGAACTGGGCCCTTCTACCGTCAGATGCAAATGTGAGGGCAGCGCAGCCGCAGCCCCAGACAAGGCTTTCCCAGCAGCTGTCCCCAGAGCGTGGCAGTCCAGAGCCAAAGGGTGGCCACATGCCTACCTAGATGTGGTGCCGGGACTCTGGCTGCTATAGTGCAGGCCACCCGGCCGGAGGCCCAGATGTGGAGGGGCCAGATGCAGAGGCCGGAGGGTAGCTGGTAAGGGGAGAGGAAGTAGAGCTCCGAAAATGAGAAGCGGAGGAGGGTGTCTTGAGCGAGTACACCACAGGCAGCCAACTGCGCCAGGTGGAGGGAAGCCTCGCCCAGCCTCACACCCGGGAAGTTGGGGCAGAAGGGCCTCACCTCAGGGTAGCTTGGTCGCAGGTCTGGTCTCTCCAGCCTCTGCCCGTCCACAGCCCTCTGCTCACTTGGGCAAGTTCTCGGTGAGATTCTGGTTTGTCCGATCCCCACGTCTCCAGGCTGCAGGGCTTAGGCGCTCCAGCCACACCGTCTGTTCCCTGGCAGGCTTTGGGGTGGCCTGTCACCTTGGCGTCCTTACGGGTCTACCCTGCATTGGGGTGGCCAAGAAACTTCTGCACGTGGATGGGCTGGAGAACAACGCCTTGCACAAGGAGAAGGTAAACAGGAGCCCAAGGGCTGGGCACGGGGATACCTGGGTGGCCTGGCCTGCGCATGCTGTCCCTGGATGGTGGCCTGGAGTGAGGAAGACCCACTCTCCTCTGGGGCCGCCCCGCTTTCCTCTTGGGGTCCTGTGGGCAGTGCTGGGACTCCCCTAGCTCCCTCCCGCCTCGTGGGTGTGCTCGCCTCTCTCGTCCCCTTCACCTCTGCTGCCATTGCACACCAAGTAGGTCCTGGGGACAGGGCGGGCTTCTAGCTGTCCCAGCGGTGCTTGGTGCTTTTCCCACCCCTGCTCCAGCCCAGCCACCTATCCCTTCCCCAGGACACTCAGGTGCTTGTGGTCTCCAGGCCCTGCCTCTGTGCCACACACCACAGCCCACCCAGAGCTGCCACCAGCACCCTTCCTCCTCCTTCCTCTGAGGCCCTTCTGGTAGGAGCCAGTGACATACCCGGCTCTCCTGCGGGACGGGAAGTTCCGAGAGCAAAGCCCACATCTCCTGTTTCTCTGGGCTCTCGGGTCCCCGCATGGAGCATTCGCTCAGTAGGAGTCTGTTGAGTTGACAGGGACGCGAGGTCCGCTCAGTGGGCCAACCCACCCCTCAAAATAATGGTTTTCTGAGCTGAATCAAATAATGCCCAGAGCGGAAAGAGCAGCAGGAAGGAAGCGGCCTCAGCGCTGGGCGCGGCCCACTGGGCAGCAGGTGACTCCTGTGTCTCTACCAGTCTGGCACCTGCGCTTGCCAGCGCTGTGGCCCTGGGCCTTCCCTCGGCCCGTCGCCAGGGTGGGACAAGGCCTGTGGGCAGCGCCCTGACCCAGGCCCGACTGTGCCACCGCGTGCTCAGGGCCGTCTCAGGCTCCCGTGTGAGGTCAGGCCCTGCCCTTCCCCGGCCCGGCAGCCACTGCTGCGGCCACAGCCAGGCGCGCCTCCAGCCCCCGCCCAGAGAAGCCCTGCGTTTCCCAGTGTTCCTCCCCGTTTTGCAGATCCAGCTCCTGCAGGCCGGAGGAGACTCCTTCCCTCTGACGGGAAGCTCTGGGACCGTCCTGGGAATGGTGCGTGGCCCGGGCCCTGTGCCCCAGCAAGGGCCTGTGTCCGAGGGGCAGGGTGGCCCGGGCAGCAGCTCCTTCACACACGTGTGCATGTGCACCCAGACATGCACACGCTCACTCATGCCCAGTCCGGACAGTGTTCCTCTCCCCATCCTCCAGCCACAAGGGCCCCGGGATGTGATGTGTGCACCTGTTTCGCCCCACCCACTGTGGGGCGGGGCGGCCCTGTGCCCAGAGAGCAGGAAAGCTCCCCGAGAGCACCCCACACCTCCAGGCTCCCTCCTGCTGCCCGGGACATTGTGTCCGAGCCCCAGCCACCGAGGCCGGTTCTGCCCGCGTCCCAGTGGCCAGTGCGTAGGACTGCCCTCTCCTTCCTTGTCACAGGCCCTGCGGAGCCACGACCGCAGCACCAAGCCCCTCTACATCTCTGTGGGCCACAAGATGGGCCTGGAGACGGCCGTGCGCCTGACCCACCGCTGCTGCAGGTTCCGGATCCCCGAGCCCGTGCGCCAGGTGGGTGGCCACGGGGTGTGGCAGGGGGGACGTGCTCCTCTGCTCCCCACCATCTTCCCTTCATGAGCTCCCCATCAGCTCACCTGGGGTCAGAGCGCAGTGACATGAGGACAGGACCCCAGGCAAGGCAGGTCCACGGCACCTTGCTGGAGAGCAAGCTGGCCCTCCTGCTGGGTCCCGGAGGCAGGAGAGTGGACCGAGGGTACGGAGCTCCCAGGAGGTCACCTGCTGTGCCCCGCATGCAGCCTCTCAGCCTCTCGGAGCCTCCCGTGCCCAGATTCCAGGGTCGCTTGGGAATCACCTGTATCAGCCGGTGTCCCAGAGTCCCACTCAGCCCCTCAGGGCCTGGAGGGAGGAGGCCCTTGCAGGACTGCTGCAGTGGCACCTGAGACACCAGCCGGGGGACAGGTGTGGCACACTGGGCACCCAGCACCGTAACTGGTGCTCTGGGATGCAGGGGTCGGAGCTCTGCGAACCCGTCAGCTGGGCCGAGGAAGAGCTCAGCCTGTGGCGAGAGACACAGCCGGGTGCAAGATGCCCACCGCGGGCCTTGCGAGCTCAGTCTGGACCAGGGGCCCCGTGGCCTGCTGCCTCCGCTGCTTCCCGTCTTCCCCGCTCCCTGCCCCACAGCCTGTGCTGGGGCGGCCACTCAGCAGAGAGGCAGGGCGGGCCGCTCAGTGGAAATGCCCCCACCCGCTGGCCCCCGCCATTCCCACCTCCTGGGCCTCGTGCCTCCCGGCTGCAGCATGCGGCGTGGCCTCCAGGGGGCAGCAGCAGCCCGCACACGTCCGTGGCACTCGGCCTCGCCTCGCCCTCTCCCCATCCAGAGCATCGCTGGGTGGCAGGTGCGTGGGTTCCAAAGCCTGCGAGCAGCGTCTCCTTTTCCCAGGAGGCCTTTCCCCTTCCTTTCCAACCCAGCTGTGTGGCCTGGGAGAAAACCCAAGAGACTCCCCCCAGGTTCACCGGGGACCTCTAGGTTGGGCTGCCGCAGACCTGCCGGGTGCGGTGCAGCAGGCCTCTGTCCCTCTCCGCCTGGATTTCCCCGACAGGAGCAGTGGCCCCTGCCTTGCGGGGAGGGACGCTGGCCTGTAAATACCTGGCACCCTAAAATGGCAAGGTTTTGTGCAGAGCACGTGAAGAGCTTGCCACGTCCTGGGTCTACATCCCAGAGGAAGAAGAGCCAGCAGTGGATGGGACGTGCCGTCCAGTCTGCGCCGGAGCCCACGGCCTCCCCGCTGCTGGGAGGGGGTGACCGTCCTGTCCACCAGGGCGCGCTGCATGGCTGATTTCTGCCTGGGCCTACTCGCCTCTAACAGTTTCCCTCCTGTCGCTGCCTCCGGAAGCTTCTGGAGAGCGTGCGGGTGGGTCAGCGGCTGCCCTCTCCCGCCGTGCGTCTGGGCCCTTCCTCTGGGGCTCTGGCGCAGCCCTGGGTCACAGCGCCCTCTGCTGGCCAGGCTGGGCTGCTGCAGGGACAGCAGGAAGGGTCGCCTGTCCGTCGTGGTACCTGCCCACCGGCCCTCCCTGTTCCTGAAGCAGGAGCAGCAGAGGGATTACCTGTCGCTGTCTGTCACGTGGCCCTGAAGCTAATCTAAGCCACTGGGAGATTGGACTCAGGCCTTCCCAGGGCACCCGGCTCAGGGGCTTCCCACTGAGACCTGAGCCCTGTTCTGTGGCCCTCCCGCTGGGGTCTGCCCTGGTCCCGCCCACAGCCCACAGGCCCTCTTTATTCTGGTGATCTGGAGATGGGACGGGTCACCACTGGTACTAGTCGGGAGACAGGACAGACCGGCTGGGCGAGAGTCCTTGGAGAAGAGGTTGAGCAGGGAAACCTTTGGCTGAAGCGAAACCTGCAGGCAGCTCCAAGCTGTGACCCAGTGGGAGCCGAGCAGCTGACACCGGGGGGAGACCCAGGACCCCACCCTTAGCCAGTCTGCTCGAAGCTGCTTGGGCCCCTCAGGGACTGCCAGGTTCGGTTTCGAAACTGCTGTTCCAGGCCTTGCCCCGGGGTTCTGGGCAGCCTGTCACCCACACACAATGGGCTACTGCCCAGTCCCAGAGAGCAGTGTCTGTGCACAGTGGCACCTATGCGAAACGTGCGCTCCAGGTGGGCTCTTGCGCAGGGAATGGAGGCACCTGCTCTAGATGCTGGGCAGGGCAGGCGTCCGAAGCCAGCTCAGGACCAGCACCTCTCCCCTCTCTTCCAGCTGACATCGCTCCGAGAGCACATCGCGAGGACCCTGGAGCTTCCTGGCCGCCCGCCCCTGGGCAGAGAGGTGAGTACTAGAGAGCGGGGCAGCTGCATGAAGGAAGTGTCCCGCAACACCTGGTGGGGGCACCGCAGGGTCCTCGAAGGAGGGGACAGTGGTGTGCCTCCGAGTCTGTCGAGAACTATCCAGAAACACCTCCCCTCCCCCCTAGAGCCCTCAGATCATGGCTGTCTGGCCCAAGCCCGCCGCCCATAGGGCTGAGCACAGCTCTGCAGGAAGGGCATGGCCTCTGGGGTGAGACACGACCCAGCCGTGCACAAGCTGTGGTGCTGTCTGCACTCTCCGAGGCTCGGTGTCCTCACCCCAGGGCAGGTGTGGTCATTCCTCTCCTGTTGGTCCCTGTGAGACAGAGCGAGGCTGTGCGGGCACAGGCTGCCATCGCAGCTAACAGCGCAAGGCGCTGTTCTAAACACGTTGCGCAGACTGTTTGATCCTTTTAGCAGTCTTGCTGTGATACTGATCCCCTTTACAGATGAGAATACTGAGGCACAGAGTTCTGATAGCAAGCAGAGCGGGTTTCAGCCGGCAGTGTGGTTTCAGGCCTGTGCGAGCTTCACTGAGCGGCTGCTCCCTTCCCTGGGTGGAGGTTCCAGGCGCCCAGGCTGGGGCTGCTGCCTCTCCTGAGGAGCTGCTTGCGAGCTGCTCTCCCTTTCTGCCCATTTCCCTCCAAGCCGAGGCTGTCCTTAGGCCTTCATAAGCTGCCTTCACACCTGAGGGAGCATCGACGGGACTGCTGAGCTCTCCCAGGGCTGCCCAGCTCGGCCATCCCATCCTGCCTGCCCCATAGCAGGCCCTGGGGACCCGGATCTGCCGCAGCTTCCAGGGACCACCTGGGGAGCAAGGGGGAGTTCAGGCTGGAGCTGGCCTTTGATGCTGCTGTTCCTTTCTCCACGTCGTGACCAGGAACCAGAAAGTGCAGAGGCCAAAGTCCTGCCCCGAAGGAGTCTCAGTAGAGCCCACCAGTGAGGCCAGGCCTCCAGCGCACCGCAGCCAAGGCGCTAGGACAGACCTGAAAGCCCCAAAGCCAGCCTCCCAGGAGCAACAGGGCAAGGCCGGCCGTCGAGTGGAGCTGGACACCGTGAAGATGCAAAGACCACCAGCCACCCAACTCCGGCCTCGGGACCATGACCGCCTGTAGGAGCTGGTCTCTAGGGACTTTGGGGACCTCACCTCCCAGCTGTGGGTGGAGCGCCCAGTCCCTGAAGACACTGCGCCACTCACGGGGACATAGCAGGCACAGCACCGCTCGAGGTAGGTTGGAGGTGACCGTCCCTCCCTGCTCTGGCATTAGCTGGTGGTCCATGGTCAGGGTGCCTTAGAGGAAGACAGAGCCCACGGGCCCAGTGCCAGACCTGTCTGACAGCGTGTGAGACACCTTCCTGAAGCTGGGAAGAGGATTCAGGGTCGCCAGCCTGGACAAGCCCCTCGGCTGCTGCTCCACCCGCCCCTTTGAACACACCGGCTCTGCTTGCTCGTTTCTGTTGTTTCCCAGGATTCGTTTGTAAACCAGCCCTGCTGGGCCGCCTCCGCCCTAACCTGGGAGGGCTCTGAGCTGGGGTGGCTGGGCCTCGGTACCGCCTGCTGTCCCTCGGGCCCAACACCTGTGCTGCCCATGGTGCAGCTGCGTGGCCTGGGAGGAGGGGGAGGTGAGCCTCATTTCAGCCAAGGGTGGGGCGGGGGCGGGGGACACTCAGGGAAAGTCTGCACTGTGAGGCAGGGTGCCGTGCCCCATCTCCCCACTGCTCCCAACCTAAAGCCCATTTGTAGGCCTGGGCCGCAGGGGTGCAGGTACAGAAGAGGCCCAGCCTATGTAGCTGCCCTCACTTGATGGTGCAGCCTCTATTCTAGAAATTTCCACAAGAAGTGGGCTTACTCCAGGACAAGTGGGGCTGTGCGTGCGGCGCCCAGCCGACCCCTCCCCATGGCACAGCAGGCACAGGAGGAGGCGAGATGCTCATTGGGGCTGCCAGGGTGACCAGGTGCCATCAGGTGCTGCAGTGTCCCTGGGTGTTCATTGGGGGAAGCAGTTTCCAGCATGTTCCACAGGTGCCTCACGGGGAGCCTATGGGCAAGAGGACTGGCCCAGGTCCTGCCTCCTATTGATGATGCGCTTTGTCCTCCTGCGCACCTGTGCAGCCACTGCTGTGACAAGCACAGGGGCGTCTCAGTCACAGGATGGGTCACAGTCACAGTCACAGCCCACACAGGCTTCCTCGCTCCCCATCCTGTGACTGAGACACCCCCTGTGCTTGTCATAGCTGTGGGTGTACAGGGAGCTCCCAGCCCAGAGAGCTCTTAGGGACGTGCCTTAGGTCACCAGGGCGTGGGGCTGGGTTTGGGCACGAGGACAGTAGGAACTGGCCAGGTCATTTCGGGCTGCTGACTGTCTGCACCGTGGGCCAGACCCACACGCCCGTTCCGCAGTGTGAGGGCGCAAGCAGCACCCCAGCGCGGCGGCTCGGCCCTTGTGCCTCTGGGGTCAGCAGCCAGAGGAGGAGCCATGGTTGTCAGCCCTGGGCACTCGGGCCTTTCTGTGGAGTCTGGCTTTCTGTAAGACCTCTGCCCAGTGGACCAAGGGGTCCCTTCACCATAGCAGGGGGGGCTCTGCCCTGCGCCACCCCAAAGCAGCAGAAGCTGGGGTGGGGGGAGACAGGCCGGGGTCTGTGTCTTTTCCCTGCCTCCCTCGAGGCTACACTGCAGGCACAGGGCCTGCTCCGGCGCCCAGACCACCTGACTGAGCTTGGAAGTGAGTGATAGCAGAAAGCAAACACTCCCAGGACCCCTGTCTGGCGAGGGTGACGGTACAGGGCCCTGGTGTTTGAAGCAGCCAGTGTGGCCTGCGGGGGTCTGTGCCAGTAGGGGAGGCCGTGTGGTGGGTGTTGCCCCTGGTTACATGGAGGCCAAGGCTCTCTGGAAGATTCTATGAGCTTCCTAATATCCCGCACTGGGTTCCGTTGGGCTGGCCAGAGTGGGCTCTGCTGTTCCCAGTGGCGTGTGGGACGAGGAGACGTCTGTCCCGGAATCATTCTCAGCTCTGTCTGTGGGGGGAGGGGGGGCGGGGGACGGCACACCCCAGACACAGCTCCCGAAGCCCCTTCCCCTCCTGACCCTGCTGGACGAGAGCCAGCCTCTGCCCCAGGGGTGGGGGGCCGGCGGGTCCCATGGGAGGAAGAAACGCCCACACATGGCTGGAAACCTGGGGTCAGGACAGATGGCCCCCGGCCCGGCCGAGGCTCCCGGCCTGGCTCTGTAGTTCTCCTGCCGCCGCCTCAGCGCTCCCTCCCTCCTCACTCCTCCTCCTCCCTCTCCACTACCCCCTTCTTAGAAATGAAGTCATCTAGAAAAATAATCAGTAAGAAAACGGGAATTTTTCCCCCTTCAAGCATTTGGTGAGACACCTCCCACACGGAGGAGAGTGTCCACTGGGCCTGTGTTGGTCTGCGGGAGGCTCGGGCCTGCACCACTCGGGAGCCAGAAGCAGGTGGGCCCTCGGCCCCCAAGATAGGGTCTGCTCTGGGCCTCCCCTCTGCAGCCTGGATTTGATGTGTAAAATCAGGAAGGCTGTCCTGGAGCACACTAGCGGGCACATGCATGGCTAGACTGAAGTAGACTTACCTACTTAGCTGGCACTTTGAGCTGACTTTTTCTTCCCAATGATCATTTATTGCTGGAAGTTTGTTTTTAAATTGGAATTGCCTGAACACATGGGAATAACTGAAATAGCTCCTGGCTGTCTCAGTTGACAAATGACTAAATCTTGTAACCATCGAAGGTAGGTAAATAATTTGCACTCCCAATAATGTCTTCAAGGGGACAATGATTAGTTGTTAAGATTTTCAGGTAAGTCACCTGCAGCGTGCTATAGGGAGATGTCCAAGGAAATGGATTTGGGTGGGAGTGAAAATGAGTAGAGGGGTTGGAGGTGTGGAGATGAGGGCGACTGAGTTTCCTAGATGCAAGTGGATAATATATGAGACGAGTGACTACCTGGGTCTGAACAGAAACCGTGGGGTCAAGAGGCAAGCCTGGCGGCAGGACAAAGTACGTCTTCTTTGTAGACCAGCATGTCTCTTCTAGCTGTGGCTCCAGACCACAGGTTTCTCTCCTGAAGGAACCTTCCTCTTTGGAAGAGAAAATGCAATTTTCCACTTTTGAGTGGCATTTTTACCCCTCAAACATGACACTGAGCCTACCTGCAGCCCCCCCCCCACCCCAGTCCCTCACTACCTTTCCTTCCTGTTACGAGGCACTCCTCCCCTCTCACAACCCAAGGCATTGGCGAGGAGTTAGCTCTCTCCTTGCACATTGCTGGCTGCAGCTCTGCTGCTTCCAGCAAGTCACGTCAGGCGGGGCACGGGGACAGCTTCCCTCCAGGACTCCACACAGCTTGTAAGTCTGAGATCAGCCACGGGGAGTGGCACTAAACTTCACCTTGGACTCAACAGTTCTGCTGTCCTTCTGTCCAGAGGAAAGTTTATCCGTCTCACATTCTAAACCAGAATGTACATTTTTTGTCCGACCCTTCCACTTCATGATACTTCAGTAACAACATTTCTGCAAAAATTAAACCCCAGAAGCCTCGTTGATGTCCATGCACCATGAATAGAAGCTCTGCCTCCAAAGAGAAGGATTCCTTAGCAGAAAAGCTCAAGTTTATTAAAACAGGTATGACAAGTAAAATAAAATGACTTTGCCCTGTGCTAGGCCAGTTTATTTGCTACAAACAACTAATGCAGGATATGACAGTTAAGGTTTTAAAGCATAACATACAAAATGAACATCTAATTAAAAATCTTTACTAAAAGTGAGAAAAAATTCCAGGCCAAAGGAGGGTGGGAAAAGCTTTCATAGCCAGAGATTGACTCCTGTCTCCCACCTGCTAAGTGTGTGACACAGTGAGAAACTGGGTGTGAGCTGCCACCCGATGGCCAGGGTGAGCTTACCTGCCAGCTCTGAGGTATGAAAGGAGTTCCAAGTACAAGTTGAAGAGATGAAACATGCCAACCCCAACTCCCCACATCTATTAAATAGGCAGTCCAGGATGCAGTTGTCTGTGGGGAGGGCTTTGCATAGTTCAGAATGATAAAACAATCACAGGTTACTAAATGCAAGTGGATATTGTATGAAATGTTTACTGCTGACTCCGTCAAGCACTGAAGCACGTATCAAAGTGATGGAAATGGTGCTGTCCTTCTGCACCTCCCGCCAGTGGTGCTCAAGGTGTGCGATGGCACTGGCGTGTCCTACACTAGCATTTGAATTTTTGTAGCTTTCACTCCTTGGGCCCAATTGCGAGTTGATTGAGTCATTAACTCACTTTAAATGCATATTAAGAATATTGCCTCTAACTTGTAAAACAGTTGCTAGTGTGATCTCAGTGCAAGTGGGTACTGAGCTACCCAGGAACAGGATTAGTCTAGGGAGGTCGTAAGTACCAAAGTAGATATGGCGAGAGTGGGAGAAGAGTAACACAATGAGAAAGCAGCACAAGGTCAGGGCTACTTGACTTTTCTTTTCTCCTTTTTCAGAATTTAAGTGGTTTTGTACTCTGTCTGGGTGTTAGTTTTTGTGCCTGGCTGAGACCCAAATAAAGGCCTAGGTATTCATACCACTCGGAGGTTGAGATCCGCTACAACTGCGGATCATTTGGCATAATGCAAGCCACCAAAAACTCCCCACAGGATTGCCAAAACCATGCCTTTGATCAAGTTGACATATCAACGTTCATTTAGAATTTAAACGTTTTAGAATTGTAAGACCTTTGGCCACCAACCCTACTCCCTTCTCTTTGTACGTGAGAAACTAACACCCAGAAGTGTCCCTGACGCCCGGCCCAGAGCTCTTCACAACGCGGCTCTCTGGCTCTCGCCCTGAGACGTGGCAGTGACTCACGAGGGTCTGCTGGGATCTTGTTAGTTTGGTCTAAGGCACTTACAGAATGTCCTGATTTTTCTTGTATTTGTGAGAAGACCGAAAATGCTATACTTTTTCACATCTTCTTGGAAACCCAGAAATATCTGTATAGTACTCAGAATTTAAGGTCATGGAAGAAGAAGAAAACCAGATTCTTTCCTGAGTATAGAATTAACTTAGAAAAAGGGATAAAGGCAAAATAGTGATCTGTTTTGTCCCCTCCTCTAATTATGCAGTAGTCTGAGGAGGGACCTGTGTCTGAGGAAGTGCCAAGAGTTCCAGACACCGGCCATCACTGCCTGTGAGGCTGAGAAGCTTCTCCTGTCCCTCCTGCGATGTAAACGATGGCAGGTTAAGTTTCCAATTCCATGTAGTCTTCGTCGATCTCCTCGAACGAACGGATTTCACAGGATGAGGAAGTTTGGATGCATCCTTGTTTCAGAAGCAGCTCACACAGCACACCCTGGTCTTGCGTTGAGTGCTGCGCCAACAGCTTCCTCCTGAGCACTCACCGCGGCAGCGGCCGGTGGTGGGATCCGGGCCGTGGGTGCGGGGCCAGAGCCTTCCCCCAAGTCTCCCCAACACACGCTGAGAGCGATGACTATCGATCTGTCGATCCGTTCAGCGTCGGCGCCATTTTCCACACACAGACACATTCGAGAGCAGGATCTCTCCCGGGAACTGGTACTCCACTTCAGGAAGAATTTCACTCTCTTTAGTTTCCAAGCACACTACCAGAGTGTCTCTCAGGCTGAAAAACCAAGAAAGAAGAGAGAGCATGTAAAAGCCTCCCAAATAACATACAGGCACCAATCAGTTCCTTTTTCCAGTGCTCAGTAGAACGGCAGTGTTTATTAAGACCAGCAATACCCAGGGTCAGCTGACGGTCAGTCAGCTACGGAGTTATGCAGCGGACTTGTGGCGCACAACGCCTGCCCCCCGCGTGCAGCGCACACCCCCCTGCAGCCCGTGGAGCTCGCCTCGATCCTGGCC